AAAGAACAGTACCTGGGAGATGAGGGTATCACAAGTCAGAGACAAACCGGTGCCAATGGAAATACCGGTGACGTTGATGACCTGGACACAGAATAGAGACGCACAACAGACGGTCAGAAGACAGACGAATGACCAAATATTCAGTTTCAAAAGCACAACAGGTGGAAGCGGATTGCCACGAATTGGCAAATATGGGAAAGAAGGAGCTAAAACAGGAGGTATAGGACCAGGGAAAAGTCTCCTCACCGCGATGGACAGCGACACGCCGGCCAGCTCGGTCTTCCCCAGGTGGCCGCAGAACACCATGCTCACGAAGCTGATCATGAAAGTCATCATCTGGGAAATGACCTGCGGGGGCAAAGCGGAGAAATCCACAACGGGGTTTGGAGAACTCTCTCACATAGGAAATGAGATCGGACCAAGATCTGGGCAGCCAGAGGGTTCTGGATCCCGCAGAAAAACCGTAACATTAGATAACCGTGACACGGCACACGGCGCAAAATGTTCCAAAATACGCGCTGGATCAGGTCAGTTTTATCTAATCAGAGCTTCTGTGGACTGAAAAAAAGTATCTTAACAGAGCAGGTGAGAGGATCTGAGCCCCAGATGTGCCAGATGTGCGCCGGGACGGTGCGTTTGGACACATCTGGATGGAAACGGCGCGGTGTCTGTGCGTAACGCCGGTGCGTAACGCCGGTGCGTAGGAAGCAGTCTTACCACCGGCCCCGCTAGTTTCAGCAGCTGCTGGAGCTCGTTGCGGTACTTCAGCGGGATGAGGCCGCGCGCGGAGTCCTGCGCGCGAGGCTTCCCGTCCGCCGTGGCCGGCGCCTCGGCGCGCGCGCCCGCCGTTTTCCCGGAGCCGTCCATGTGTCCCGGCCGCTTCTGCGGGGCCCGGAGCCGTGTCTGCCGTATTCCCAGGCTGCGCGCGAGACGTGCATGCGCGGGGTGGCGCGCGCTCCGGTTTTAGTGCTCTGCGGGGCGGACACGTGCTGTAAGCTGAGGAGTGTCCCCCGGACCAACCGCCCCCTGCGGGCCGCCTGGGGCGGTTGGTCC